ATATAGATCTCTATCTACTGGCATGCCTACCTGCTAGGAAGATAACTATAAAACATTCCGAAATGCTTTGTTCCATTTGTTCTATATTATAAAGGAAATGAGAGTTATTTTTAAATTCCATCCCCAACATGCTCGTGGCTCCTTCTGATGGGCACCCACACAAAAAATCTGACTCTCCCTCACTTTTATCTCCCACATTCAATTGCTAAGTCAGCTGCCTTCCCTGTAGCCTTCTTGTCTTGTTCAAGTTCATTACCAGACCCTACCATGGGTATTTAACCCTCAAATCCTCCCTGCCTATGCACAAGGTTGTTATGAAGAGATGAAGTGAGATAAAATTCTACTCAAATGCAACAGTTTCCCAAGTTTCCCTTCTTGCCCTCTCTTCTGACCAAGCCTACATGGGTTAATGGGTTATTCCTTCTAAAATACTTCCTTCATCATTTGCATGCTGTTCTAAAATAATCACTTGTGTCCCCACTGATAGAGAATAAGGCCCAAACCCCTTGTAAGACATCCCTCAGCTGGACCTTAATCTATCCTCCAGTCTTACCTCCCACTAAGCCCCCATACAAGCCTTACTCATATCTCATGTATTCATGGTTTACAGGTTTGCTGAAATGAAAATGCAACCTTTTGCAAGGGACATGCAAGATGAGACCTTCTATTTCCTTGGAAGCCCAGAGGAATCATGTGCATGATACCTTAATTTGCTGGTGTCTTTTCTCTGAGTGGGGCATGAGCATCAGACAAGCTAATGCAAAAGCCGGAAGTTCTAACTGGATATAGTGCTTGGCAATTCCGATCAGGTCAAGATCATCTGAGACTGGACATCTTCAAGAGAGCACATTAATTAGTTAATAATCTGTCAGATTCACTAGATTATACTGGCCTTTGTAGCTTTCCATACTCATCTACCTGTCCAAGCTTTCAATAATTTTAAACACTAAAGTGCTGGTAGATGACATATGCTTAGGAAATGAGTAATAGGAGTCTTTGATGGCATTCTACATGGAAAAAAAATCTACCCACGGGAACAAAGACTAAAAGAATCTACCCACGGAAACAAAGACTAGTTGGCTACCATGATTATGTCTGAAAGCCTACAGATGCCAAAAGATAGGCTTCTAAATTCTCAGAAGACTCTCTCTCTCTCTCTCTCTCTCTATATATATATATATGTGTGTGCATATGTGTGTGTGTGTGTATATATATATATATATTTATTTATTTATTTTAGGCAGAGTCTCGCTCTGTCGCCCAGATTGGAGTGCAGTGGCATGATCTTAACTCACTGCGACCACAAGTGATCCGCCCATCTCGGCTTCCCAAAGTGCTGGGATTACAGGCGTGAGCCACCACACCCAGCCAGAAGACTCAAAATCTGTGTGACACCACTGTATGACTTAGGGTAGTCACCAAAGATACTCTATGCTCATATAAACAGTAGGTACTCATTTTAGAGAACGCTCAGTTTACTAGTCACACCATACATGGGAAGTAGACATTGTAAAAACAATCAAGATATTTTATTATAAAAACAAGTGTTATGCTTAACTTCCTCACAAAAGGAATTCCTTATAAGAGATATCTATCAGAAAGGAATCTTATAAGCAACAAACTTTATTTTTTATTTTTTGGTAGAACAAATATATTACTTACTCAAGGACAGCAATGAGACTCTCACAGCAATCTGACAGCTGATCCAGACTTAAAGGACAAGAGGCTGAAGATAAAACAAATAACCACGATATACACATACTCAAGTATAAAATGCTATAGTGAATGTTTCAGAGGAGAGTGAAATACCTGAAAGCAGGGGTATCTGTATCACACGCTGCCACGCTTTGCTGAAGTATGGAACCTGTGAAAACATGTCGACGTTTGGGATATTCATGCTAAGGATATTACAAACTCTCTTTAATTTGTAGTCTAGGCTGGGCGCGGTGGCTCACTTGAGGTTAGGAGTTTGAGACCAGCCTGGTTAACATGGCGAAGCCCTGTCTCTACTAAAAATACAAAAATTAGCCAGGTATGGTGGTATGCACCTGTAATCCCAGCAAGAAGCATTGTTCGAACCCGGGAGGTGGAGGTTGCAGTGAGCTGAGATCGCACCACTGCACTCCAGCCTAGGCAACAGAGCGAGACTCTGTCTCAAAAAGGATATTATGAACTCTCTTTAAATTGCAGTCTAAATGTTCTGAAATTAAATAATGATGATGGTTGTACAATTTTATGAATATACCAAAAACTACTTGATTGTATACTTTCAAAAGGATGAATTTTACAAGTGAATTTGTATCTCAACAAAAAAATTAAATAGATCGCTATGTGCTGATATGAACACTCTCCACAGGCCACTGTTATATGATCACAAAACTGTACATTTATAGTTTATATTCCAGATGACTAAAATCATAAGCTGATATCTCCCTGCTTGAGATGATTAAGGTTCTAGCATAACGTTCTTTATAACGGTGCGTTTCAGAATCTCATTATACAACCCTGGCTGCTTCATTGTTTCTTTTGGTAAAAAGTCAGAAACCAACTCAGAAAATAAAATTAATCCTTAGCCAGTTATGTGCCAGGGTCACAGGAAAGGAGGAAGGGGACAAGAGAAAGAATTTCAAGAAGGTGAATAAGGAAAGAATATTGGCCAGGCACGGTGGCTTACACCTGTAATCACAGTACTTTGGGAGGCCAAGGCAGGAGGATTGCTTGAGCCCAGGAGTTCAAGAACAGCCTAGACAACATAACAAGACACCCATCTCTATATATTTAAAGAAAAAAAAAAAGTAAACTTCCATCAATAGAGGAGTGGTTAAATAACTTTGGGTACATTTTACTACATATTATGGAGAATAATCAAGCATTAAACATAATGAAATACCTCAAAAGGCTAAACAGAGTATACACTCAAGAGGAATGAAAACATGTTCATGTGAAAACTTATACACAAATGTTCATAGCAGCATTATTTATAATGACCAAAACCAGAAACCCAAATGTTTATCAACTGACAAATGGATAAACAAAAGTGGTATATCCATAAAATGGAATATTATTTGGCAAAAGAGGAATGGAGTTCTGGTCCATGCTGCAATGTGGATGAACCTTAAAACATGATGCTGAGTGAAAGACATGGAATGCCACACAGTAGGGGATTCCATTGATATGAAATGTCCAGAATAGGCAAATCCATAGACAGAACGATTAGTGGTCACTGGGGGCTAAAGGGAGCGGGGAATGGGAATGATTGCTAATGGATATGAGTTTTCTATTTGGGAAAAGGAAAATGTTCTGGAATTAGATAATGGTGATGTCTGCACAACTTTGTGCATACACGAAAAACTATTTCATTGTATAATTTAAAAGGATAAATTTTACACATGAATTGTATCTCAATAAATCAATTAGATAGATGTATATGTGCTGATATGGAATAATCTCCAGAGACTATTGTTATGTGAAAACAACACTTTGTTTAGAATGTGATCGCATTTATGTGTGCATAAATGTATACACTGTAGATGGGCACACACATGCATACATGCCTGTATAACAGGAAAGCTCTAGAATACACAGGAAATTGTAAGCAGTCGTTCCCTCAGGGAGAAAATTATGAAGGAAAATTACTATTTGTAAGAGAGAATTTTCATGTTTTACTCAGTGTATTTCTATATTATCCTAACCTATTAAACTAATAATAAATTATATATTTCTACATAATATATATCATCATGATTATATGGGCACACAGCTTATGTGAAATTTAGAAAAAATAAACAAGCCATGGTATCTGACTTTAAAGATCTTCAAAATCTGTGAGGGGGCAGTCCACATGTAATTAAAATAAACTATATGGTGACAAAAGTCAGAGTGGAGCCAAAATGTCTTGCAAGCATAAATGAAGATGTGACTCATGAGGCCTGGGGAACTCAGGCAAGTGGTATCTTCAGGAGGTAATATGAGCTGAGTATTACAGGTCCAGGCAAACTTTAATGAAACATCCTGCAGCCAATCAGTTCTGTTTCTTCTTTCTTTATTTTAAGGAAAGGCTCTAGCTCTGCTGCCCAGGCCAGAGCTGGAGTGCGATGGTGCAATCACGGCTCACTGCAGCCTTAAACTCCTGTGCTCAAGTGATTCTTCCGCCTTGGCCTCCCAAAGCGTTGGAGTTACAGGAGTGATCCACTGTACTTGGCTCAGTTCTGTTCTTTATGAAGGGGTTGACTGTTTAATTTTAGTCACAAGGCCAGAAAGTATAAAGATTAAATTCAATAAAATTCATTTTTAAAAACTACATACCTGCCATAGAGAATGGATACTGGAAATCACTTTTAAAACTTTCCTCAGATAAGCAATCTGTAAAAAATAAAAAATAAAAAAGTTCTAAAGACCACCAAAATGGAAAACTTCAATGTGAAATACCAGATTCTTAAAGTTCCAAAAGAAGTACTGGTAAAACTTTATCTTCCATGATAACTGCCAGAGAAGTTCACTCACAAGTTCATAAATATCAAAAAAGGCTAGGGAACCTTCCATTTGTTTCCAGTGAAATTTATGTCATTTTTGATTTTGCACTCGTTGGCCTAACGCCAAGTTCTTTAAATTTGGCATCAACTCAGTGAGAGTGACTGTGTTTTCACCATAAATCTGTTCCATAACAAGTATCAATCCAGAATGTTTAGAGGATGCTGCGCAAAAGCTTTCAGATATACTCAGTTGAGGGCACTGAGTCTTAACTTACCATATTAAAGCCCAGAAGCTTTTGCAATAATCCATTCCAAAGCTGCAGGTCATAGATTTTGTATTCTAAACAAAGCTCGGTCACCAATCTTACTGCCTAAAGCCAAAAAGAGGAAAAAAAAAAAAAAAGAAGAAGAAGAAGAAAAAAGTCATGCTGCTCCAAGACACCAGTAAATCAAGCCATCTTTGGAAAAGTGGGGCAGCTTAATACAAAATATGCTTCTAATCTGTGAATGTCTATTGAAGGTCCTCATCTTTCTAATGAAAGAAACAACAAAAAAGAGATTCTTCTTTTTCTTGCTGTTATGGACTCACAGACACCACCTCAGACGTCTCCCCCTTTCTTTCTTCTATTGGAAAAGTTTGCCTGTTGGACCAAAAAAAACCATCCTGCTCTCGCCTCCAACTGCCTCAGAGGCTAAATTCCCAGGCAAATAAGAGGAAGAGAAATGATATCCTCTCTCTACCAGACAGTCTCCTTTCCCTGTCCAGATAAGGGCAGATAAACCGTGGGAGGGATTATAAAAGTACTCTCTCGTTGCCAGGGATGACTTTAGCCAGTGGACTTGAAGACAAAAGAGGTAAACGGACCTTCCACATTGCCTTATCTATCACATGCTGGTACAGGAGAGTAGAAAGGTCTCAGAGCAGTAGAGCAGTTCAGGGATAAAGACTGTTCCTGGGTCGGGCGCAGTGGCTCACGCCTGTAATCCCAGCACTTTGGGAGGCCCAGGTGGGTGGATTGTCTGAGGTTAGGAGTTTGAGACCAGCCTGGCCAACATGATGAGACCTTGTCTCTACTAAAAATACAAAAATTAGCCAGGCATTGTGGGTAAGCACCTATAATCCCAGCTACATGGGAAGCTGAGGCAGGAGAATCGCTTGAACCTGGGAGGCAGAGGTTGCAGTGAGCCGAGATCACACCACTGCACTCCAGCCTGGGGAACAGAGCAAAACACTGTCTTAAAAAAAAAAAAAAAGAATTCCTGGTTTTATCTTTCAGGAATCTGAGTAGGGGCAGGAAATTGGGAATGCAGCAGTGAGGTGTACCAACCATGGACTCGTGGCTGTGGTTTTTCCATAGGCCCTTAATCATTCCTTCTTTAGGACTGTTGCAAAATAACTCATATGTGATGGGGATATTCAAAGACTCAAATGATGCCAGAAAAGTTATACATTTCAAATAAGATCTGGAAAACAGAAACGTTTCTAAGAATCATTCTCATAGGCCACATTTACATTTAAAATAAAAACCACCATATGGAAATATTAGACCAGTTTGTTTTAAATGTCCGTTTTGGACTTCTAAATATATTCACTGAATATATAAAACATTAGATAGAAATCAACTGGAACAAGATAAGGAAAACATTCAGTTTCTAAATGGCTCCAAGAAACGATGGAAACAAGATGTTCTCAAAGGCCTATTTTCCCTTTGCCAAAATGTCAAGGATATTCAAGGCAACAGAATTGTATTCACATAGCTACTCTACTACGCTCTTCTGAATTCAGGGCTTGCAAGGTACAGCTCCAAAAAATGATCTGTTTCCTATTTCTTAATACAATTTAGACATTTCTACTTACTTGACTTCTTCAATGGGTTTTTTAAAGAGGGATTCTATAGTTTCCTTGTCAGCCAAATAGAAGAGACACTGAAGAGCCCGAGTTCTGTGGGCAAAAGTTAACTGATCCATACCTAATGTCTGCAAAACCAAAAAAGATTTGGAGAGTTTAACACCTGCACATTGTAGTTGGGTAAATGAGTTTCAACATAGGCAACATAAACAATGCAATTACTTTAAAATGTAAACTCAATCTCTGCAGTTGCAGAAGGCATTGTGCATAACAGTGGTTCTTAACATGTAGCCCATGGACACCTGGAGGGGCATTCCTGAGACTCCTTCAGGAGGGACAGGGTCACAGCTGTTTTCATGATACTAAGATATTATTTGCCTTTACACTGTGTTGATATTTGCACTGATTGTGCAAAAGCAATAGTGGGTAAAACTGAAGGCAGAATCGAGGCAGGGCCCCCAACTGTTGTTGCAGCCCTTGTATTCACAGCATGCCTTGGCAGTATTGAAAAGCAAAGACAACTTTCACTTAAGAATGTCCCTGATGGGCCAGGCGCAGTGGCTCATGCCTATAATCCCAGCAATTTGGGAGGCCGAGGCGGGCAGATCACCTGAGGTCAGGAGTTTGAGACCAGTCTGGCCAATATGGTGAAACCCTGTCTCTACTAAAAATACAAAAATTAGCCAGGTGTGGTGGCATGCGCCTGTAATCCCAGCTATTCGGGAGGCTGAGGCAGGAAAATCACTTGAACCTGGGAGGTGGAGATTGCAGTGAGCCAAGATCATGCCACTGCATTCCAGCCTGAGCAATAGATTTGAGATTCCGTCTCAAAAAAAAAAAAAAAAAAAAAAAAAATTTTTTTTTCCTTCCAAGATGGGATTTTGCTATGTTGCCGAGGCTGGTCTTGAACTCCTGGGCCCAAGCAATCCTTCCTTCTTGGCCTCCCAAAGTGCTGAGATCACAGGCATGAGCCACCAAGCCCAGCCAGAATGTTCTTGATGAAGCAGTAAAAATTAATTTTACTAAACCTCAACTTTTGAATCCACAGTCAGCCTTTTGTATCCATGGGTTCTGCATTCATGGAATCAACCAACAGTGGATCAAAAATATTCAAGAAAAAAAAAAATTCCACGAAGTTCTAAAAAGCAAAACATGGATTTGCTGCATGCCAAGTACTACACTGAATCCATGCGGATGAAGTGATTTGCAGGCATTGTATTATAAGTAACCCAGAGATGACTTAAGGTATACAGAAGGATATGTATAGATGACATGCAAATATGACACCATTTTATATAAGACACTTGAGCGTCCTCTGTCCTCGGGGTGGGGGGGGTCCTGGAACCAGTCCTCCCACAGATACGGAGGGATTACTATATATCATATTAATGTGAATTCACGTTTGAATACATGCTAATACTAATTAAGGGGAAGTACACATAAGGCACATTGCAAGGAAAAGCATGTACACAGCTGAGCTGTGAGCTACACTAGCCACCTTTCATGGAATACCATTTTTAGGTCATAAGTTTTTATATGCAGAGAAAATAAGGAGAGGCTTTTTCCTTCCTGTTATGGGACTTTACAATCAGCACCTGATACTTCCTCCTTTTAATCTGAGAATCATCTGCCTACTGGCTCCACCCCCTTCTCCTCTCTCTGCTCCAACTACCTCAGAGGACATTTCTATATGCAAGAGCCTGAAGCCATAGGTCATGCTGCCATAAGGGTAAACTGCAAGTTCAGTCTAGCTAAAGTTTAGTGGGCAGAGGGGATGGTCTGACCAGAGCACGCAGCCAGATAAGGCCATGGTGGAGACTTGGTTCACGGCCAGTGTGTTTGGCTCCTGGCTTCAGGAATGTGGACTGACCAGGGAGTTAACCACTGTGAATGCAGACAGCCCGTGGAAACTGTCAACAGGTGCACCATACAGCAAGCTAAGCAGATGTTACAGAGGCCAGCACTAAATGGAGCATGGTGCAAAAGACAATGATTGCTTAGGAGATGAGATAGACTTTGAGTACATATGTACGTGAGCATTATCTGAATCATCTGTTAATGCAATCAAGCGTAGTAAATAAACAGGAAAAAAATGTTAAGCTTAGATGCACAGAAGAGACTGGATTAAGTTTCCAGAGCTTACAGTTGTAGTTGATGTTGCAAATACAAACAGCATTCTTGAACTATAATCAATTGGATGAGACAGAAGGAGATATTGCACTCTGGAAAAAAAATTGAATTACATTTATCTTTTAATTTCGTGATGGATTTACCAAAACAACAGACTTATCTTTCCCTCCATGGAAAGGTCATTAGACAACTCAAAGGCAGACCAGAAAGACGTTTTTGCTTTAAAGATTGCTTAATCTTTTCTTGATTTCTTTTGTTGCTAAAGATGATAATACATGCAACAAATGCCAGGCTTCAGCCTCCTCATCTATAGAATAGCTAGTCAACCTCTGATCCCTTAAATTCTACTTAAGAAACTAACATAATTAATTCAAGAAAGATGTTCAGGAAAAAAAAAAAGAAACTAATACAAACCATAGCTGGGAAGTCCCTTGAATGCTACACATGGGAAATTCTGTGTTTGGTATGCAGGACCTTGTTAGCAGCCCATTTCAACCTCTAGACCCAGGGTAAGCTGGCCCCTCTCCAGGAAGGAAGGATGAATTAGGCCGGCTGGAGGAGGGGTGGGGCAGAGGTTTTAGTGGAAAAAGCAGCACATTATAAATTTTGCATTAAGTAGCCTTTTGGGATTTCCTTTTTCTCTTCTCTCTTTAAATCGCTTCGCTCCAAGACTTTCCATGTGGCTAGTTCAGTTAGACATACCAGGAGCTACCTCTTGTTTGAACAAAGATGCCCCTTCCCTTAAAAGACTAAACGAAGCCGTGCGCAGTGGCTCACACCTGTAATCCTAGACCTTTGGAAACCAAAGCAGGAGTATCACAAGGTTAGCACTTCGAGACCAGCCTTACCAAAATGGTGAAACCCTGTCTCTACTAAAAATACAAAAATTGGCCGGGCATGGTGGCAAGTGCCTGTAATCCCAGCTAATTGGGAGGGGGAAGCAAGAGAATTGCTTGAACCCGGAGGCAGAGGTTGCAGTGAGCTGAAATTATACCACTGCACTCCAGCCTGGGCAACACAATGAGATCCTGTCTCAAAAAAAAAAAAAAAAAAAAAGAGTCAAAAAAAAAAAAAAAAAAAAAAAAAAAGACTAAATGAGGCCAAGGTGGGAGTCCAGAGGGAAAGAGGGCATGGGTGGTTAGGACAGCTCTCTGCTCCAAACCAGAAGAAATTCATTTCTTGGGGTTGTCTTTCCATCTTTTCTATCAGCTCTCCAAGGCTGAGGTTGGACATAGGGTCTACTTTCGGTTTAGGCTAGGAAGACCTTTTATCTTTCTTTCTTTCTTTTTTTTTTTATCATCCAGCCCAAAATGTCATAGGCTAGGAAGATCAAACCAGCTCTTTGATTTAGGAAAAGCTGGCTGGCATGTGAGCCACTATGCTCCCTATCCATGCCTGTGCCAGGCATCATTAATAGATTGACACATCTGTTCTGACTTGGGCCCAGATAAGAGTCTTCTCCAGAATGCAAGCCATGACTAATCAGATTTAGCACATTAGATAAAAATCAATGGGCCTTTCTAGGTAGAAAGGCAAAAGGAATCTGGTGGCCTGTATCCGAACCAACTCAGCTTAGCAAGGTAAGAGAATATAAAGGTGCCTATATTTATATTTCATATAGGGGCCAAAGTCTGGGTCTTGGGCCAAAGTCCTAGTTAAGAAAGAGTTTTCTTCTGGTTGAGAGGCACCTTCCACCTAAAGGTATGCTAGGGACCCTCAGCTCTCATACGAGTTGAGAAATTTTAGATCTTGGCTGGCTCTGATATTTTCCACTGGAGAGACTCCTAGCCATGTATCAATGGACTGATTCATTTCATAAACTCTGACCCGAGTTTATCAAGAAAGCCCTTTAAAAAATCAACTGCTGAAAAATGTATGGTAAGATTCCCATTTTGCATCACAACATAGGCGAATATAAGTAAAGGAAAAGAGTACCTTCGTAGGGCTTCATCTTCTTGAAGTTCAAATAATTCTGATGGTTTCTTGGAAAAAATAGGAAAAACAGGTCAAAAACTAAAAAAGTTTATGATTAAACATTCATTCATCTCTCTGAAAACCTATTAGATAAAAAAACCTAATATACAAGATTATGTTTACATAGAAAAATTATAATGTAAATGATTACTTTATGAAAAGATTTTTTTGCTTAAATGATGGGTTTACTCACATTCATTCACTCAACAAATATTCACTGAGCACTTACTATATGATAGGCACAATTCTAACTATACAGATTGCCTGAGCAAATAAAGCAAATGTTCCTGTCCTCCTGGAGCTTACATGCATTGGATAATTTTTATTTTGATTTATTTTTGTTTTTGGAGACAGGGTCTTGCTCTGTCACTCAGGCCGAAATACAGTGGCACAACCATGGCTCACTGCAGCCTCAACCTCCTGTGGTCAAGCAATCCTCTTGCCTCAGCCTCCTGAGTAGCTGGGACCACAGGTGCACATCATGATACCTGGCTAATTTTTAAAATTTTTGTACAGATGGGGTCTCGCTATGTTGCTCAGGCTGGTCTAAAACCCCTGGCCTCAAACATCCTCCTTCCTTGGCCTCCCAAAGTGCTCAGATTACTTGCATGAGCTACCTTGCCCAGCCCAGTATTAGATAATTTTTTTTTTTTGGTTGAGATGGAGTCTCACTCTGTCACCAGGCTGAAGTGCTATAGCACTCGGCTCACTGCAACCTCCGACTCCCTGGTTCAAGCGATTCTCCTGCCTGAGCCTAATGAGTAGTTGGGATTACAGGCACTCGCCACCATGCCCAGCTAATTTTTTTTTTTTTTGTATTTTTAGTAGAGACGGGGGTTTCTCCATGTTGGCCAGGCTGGTCTCAAATTCTTGACCTCAGGTGATCCGCCCACCTCGGCCTCCAAAAGTACTGGGATTATAGGGCCACTGCGCCCATCGGCCTAGATAATTTTTAAAAGGAAAAGACTCCATGAATTTTAAATGAGCCATTTGTGAATTCAGTATATATTTATTGGGACTTACAAAGTACCGTGCTAGGTGCTATGTATACATGCAGTTTCAGGCCTCGAGGAACTTTTAGTGTATACCTTAAACTTACACATAAGTTAAAACATCTGTAAAGGCTGGTTTCTAAGAGTCAGCTACATATTCTATGTGGCCAAGAAATGCTTCTAACTCCTGTTTCCACTGAAGAACAATCCATGCTCTTGGTAAATACTTTAAAAATCCTTGTTGAATCAAATGCCAAATGATATAAAAATTGCTAATTAAAAACTTAATGGTGGCCGGGTAAAGTGGCTCACACCTGTAATCCCAGCACTTTGGGAGGCTGAGGCAGGTGGATCACCTGAGGTTGGCAGATCAAGACCAGCCTGGCCAATGTGGTGAAATCCCATCTCTACTAAAATTAAAAAGTTAGCTGGGCATGATGGCATGATGCTAAAAGTACATAATTCGAATCTGTTCATGAGGCTTTATCAGACAAACCCAAATTGGAGGGCAGCTTATGAGACAGCTGGATTACATTCTTCAAAAATGTCAATATCATAAAAGACAAGAAAAAGTCACAGAACTGCCCTAGATTAAAAGAGACTAGGGGCCGAGTGCGGTGGCTCATGTTTGTAATCCTCGTACTCTGGGAGGCCGAAGTAGAAGGGTCATATGAGGCCAGGAGTTTGAGACCAACCTGGCCAACATGGTGAAACCCCATCTCTACTAAAAATACAAAAATTAGCCAAGCGTGGTGGCGCACGCCTATAATCCCAGCTACTCAGGAGGCTGAGACAAGATAATTGCTTAAACCCACGAGGTGGGGGTTGCAGTGAGCCCAAGATCATGCCATTGCACTCCAGCCTGGGCAATGAAATGAGACTGTGTCAAAAACAAAAACAAAAACAAAAACAGACTGGAGACATGACCAATAAATGCAAAACATAGTCCTAGACAAGATCGTGGACCTGGGGGAGAAAACTGCTATAAAACATATTATTAGGCTGGGCATGGGGGGCATGTGCCTGTAATTCCAGCTACGCGGGAGGCTCGCTTAAACCAGAGAGGCGGAGGTCGCAGTGAGCCGAGATCCCATCATTGTACTCCAGCTTGGGCGACAGAGCAAAATTCCATCTCAAAACAAAAACAAAAAACATTATTAGGGCCAGGCGTGGTGGCTCATGCCTGTAATCCCAACACTTTGGGAGGCTGAGGCAGGTGAATCACCTGGTCAGGAGATCGGGACCATCCTGGCTAACATGGTGAAACCCCAACTCTACTAAAAATACAAAAAATTAGTCAGGCGTGGTGGAATGTGCCTGTAGTCCCGACTACTCAGGAGGCTGAGGCAGGAGAGTCACTTGAACCTGGGAGGCAGGGGTTGCAGTGAGCTGAGATCGAGCCACTGCATTCCAGCCTGGGCAACAGAGCAAGGCTCTGTCTCAAAAAATAAATAAATAAAAATAATTAGGACACTGGTGTAACTATAAAATGGACCATAAATTCAATTATAATGTCACCACTAAATTTCTGATTCTGATAATTATATTATGGTTGGGTAAGATAAAATCCTGTTCTTAGGAAACGTACCCTTAAAATACTCAGGAGACAAAGGGGCAGGCCACATGCTATTTATTCTCCAATGGTTCAAAAAAATATTATGAGAGTATTATAGAAGAGAGATGAAGCAAATATGGCAAAATGTTAAAAAAAGTATGGATCTGGGTGACAGGCATATGTAGGAATTCCTTTTTTTTACTATTTTTGTACTTTTCTATACATTTTATATTATTTCAAAAGAAAAAGTTAATCACATAAATCTGAGTAAAAGAACAGGCCACTTCTTTCATACAGATGGCATCTGAAACATCAACTGAAAAGTAAAACAGCTACAAAACAGCATTTAAACAAAAAGTAAACAATCTTCAGCCAGGTGTGGTGGCTCGCACCTGTAATCCTGGCACTTTGGGAGGCTGAGGTGGTGGATCACCTGAGGTCGGGAGTTTGAGACAAGCCTGGCCAACATGGTGAAATCCCATCTCCACTAAAATTAAAAAATTAGCTGGGCATGGTGGCACACACCTGTCATCCCAACTACTTGGGAAGCTAAGGAGGGAGAATTGCTTGAACCTTGGCAGAGGATGCAGTGAGCTGAGATCACGCCACTGCACTCTAGCCTGGGTGACAGAGTAAGACTGTCTCAAAAAAAAAAAAAAAAAAAAAAAAGTAAACAGCCTCATTAAAACATCAGATAATAGAGGGTAATAAAATGAACAAAACTTCCAGACAGGCACAGTGGCTTATGCCTGTAATCTCAGCACTTTGGGAAATTGAGGCAGGGGGATCACTTGAGGCCAGGAGTTTGAGACCAGCTTGGCCAACATAATGATACCCTATCACTACCACAAAAAAAAAAAAAAAAAAAAAAAAAAAAAAAAAAACAAAAACACAAAAAAAAAAAAAAAAAAAAAAAAAAAAAAAAAAGTTAACCACACATGATGATGCACACATGTAGTCCCAACTACTTGGGAGGCTGAGGTGGGAGGACTGTTTCAGCCCAGGAGTTTGAGTCTGCAGTGAGTCGTGATTGCACCACTGCACTTGCCTGGGTGACAGAGCAAGGTTCTACCTTTAAAAAACAAACCAAAAAAGTTCCTTTCTTGAAGAATCTGTGCTCCTAATTAGACGGTCGTATTGTGTGGGATACTTAGCCTCTGAGAAGCCATCAGTGCATTCTCAACTACAGATATCCTTGGCCAGCAAGTACTTACTTCACCAGGTTTTGTTGAAGGGCAAAGCCATTTTTCCAATAACATGTCCCAGACTTTTTCCAAATTAATTTCATTGACTTCAGCTATTTCTTTAGCTGCTGTATGAATATCTAAGATATTCAAAATAAAGAATTAAAAACTCAAGTTTTGAATACTTATATTGAATACTTATATGTGTATGTGTATATACATACACATATAAGTAACATACAAGCACACATACATATATACATAAAACTGGGAATCAAAATCATAGCTTTTCTTGGACAACAAAAAAAATAGTTTTGTCCTCACCAGGATAATCTGCGCGAGATGAATTCTGAATTCTTTGATTGATGCTAGGATGTTCATAGAGACTGACAATGAGATGTGCTGGCTTTCCGATCACTCTTAAATATTCCTCCGTGTTCAGCTTGTGGGCTATGAGCACAGCTTCAGTGCCTGATCGCCGGTACTGGATATGAAGCTTCTTCAACAAAGCCTCAGCTTTTTCACGTTTTTCATCCTTTTAAACAATTCCAAGCAAAAACAAAATCTTACAAGTCTCAGTTGAAGCCAAGAATCCATCTTTATCGATCACAATCTCCCCCTTCCTCAGTTATGTTCCTAAGCATCTATATAAAACCTTGGTCTTCTTTCTCCATTTTAGGCACTACGGCAGCATGAGAAGGTAAACTAAGCTAGAACAATTTAATTAGGAGGAAGAGAAGCCATCAATCTGATAGTTCAGACACACCTGTGATGGGATATTCTGTAGCCATCTCTCAGCTAAATAAAGGCAGAATTTCAAAGCAGACATCTTGAAGGAACCTAAAAAAAAATTTACAGGCAAATCGTAATCTTTTCGAGAAAATGTATTATCGTCAAATTAGCAAGTTTTAAAAAATTACAAAAATGCATACTCATGGGTGGGCACAGTGGCTCACATTTGTAATCCCAGCACATTGGAAGGCCGAGGCAGGTGGATTACCTGAGGTCAGGAGTTTGGGACCAGCCGGGCCAACATGGAGAAACCCCACCTCTATTAAAAATACAAAATTAGCTGGGTATGGAGCGTAATCCCAGCTACTCAGGAAGCTGAGGCAGGAAAATTGCTTGAAGTGGAAAGCAGATGTTGTGGTGAGCCGAGAGTCACCATTGCACTCCAGTGTGGGCAAGAAAAGCAAAACTCCAACTCAAAAATAAATAAATAAATAGCTGGGCATGGTGGCAGGCGCCTGTAGTCTCAGCTACTTGGGAGGCTGAGGCAGGAGAATCACTTGAACCAGGGAGGCAGAGGTTGCACTGGCCTCTGTGAGATCACGCCACTGCACTCCAGCCTGGGCGACAGAGCAAGACTCCGTGTCAAAAAAAAAAAAAAAAGTCCATAGAGGCCCTTTTATCAGTTTCCATTCCTGTTCTCTAGATTCTTACATGCCTTCCAGGAGTTTTCTGCACGTGTCTGTGTTCATGTATGTATGCATGTGCATCTAACCCTAATGGGTAATACCATATATAATCTAGTATAATTTGCTGTTCTCACTTTATATCTTGGGTATCTTTCCAAATCAGCCCCATAATATTTCATTCTATGAATACATCCTACTTTCTAACCAGTTCCTGACTTTGAGCATTTTTTTTTTGAGGCAGAGTCTCACTGTTTCCCAGGCTGGAGTGCAATGGCACAATCTCAGCTCACTGCACCCTCTGCCTCCTGGGTTCAAGCAATTCTCTGCCTCTGCCACCTGAGTAGTTGGGATCATAGGCACCTGCCACCACGCCTGGCTAATTTTTGTGTTTTTTTTTTAGTAGAGATGGGTTTTACCATGTTGGCCAGGCTGGTCTCAATCTCCTGACCTTAAATGATCTGCCCACCTCGGCCTCCCAAAGTGCTGGGATTACAGGCGTGAGCCACTGCACCTGGCCAGACCTGAGCATTTTTTAAAAAGTCATTTTCTTTTTCTTTTTTTTTTTTTTATGGTGAAAAGATATACATATATTTAGAATTAGCCAGCTGGACTCAGTTTAGATGATCCCAATTTTGTTGGCAACATCCAAAGCATCGTAATCAGGAGCCAGTTGAACACATGCCTTCTTCTCTCCATCAGGCCGAATCAGGGTGTTGACCTTGGCCACATCAATGTCATAGAGCTTCTTCACAGCCTGTTTGATCTGGTGCTTGTTGGCTTTAACATCCACAATGAACACAAGTGTGTTGTTGTCTTCTATCTTCTTCATGGCAGACTCAGTGGTCAGCGGAAACTTGATGATAGCATAGTGGTCCAGTTTGTTTCTCCTGGGGGTGCTCTTCCGAGGATATTTGGGCTGCCTCTGGACTGGCAGTGTCTTGGGCCGCCGGAAGGTGGGTGACGTGCGGATCTTCTTTTTTTTGTGGCTGTGGACACCTTTCAACACTGCCTTCTTGGCCTTTAAAGCCTTCGCTTTGGCTTCGGCTTTAGGAGGGGCAGGAGCTTCCTTCTTCGCTTTCGGCGCCATCTTGTGAAAAGGGTCCAAAAAGTCATTTTCAACTTTTGTTACGACCAAAAATGTAGGAGCTGGGTGCGGTGGCTCACGCCTGTAATCCCAGCACTTTGGGTGGCTGAGGAGGGCGGATCACAAGGTCAGTAGATTGAGACCATTCTGGCTAAGATGGCAAAACCCCGTCTCTACTAAAAATAGAAAAAATTAGCCGGGCATGGTGGCACATGCCTGTAGCCCCACCTACTCGGCAGGCTGAGGCAGGAGAACTGCTTGAAGCGGGGAGGCGGAAGTTGCAGTGAGCCGAGATTGCGCCACTACACTCTAGCCTAGGCGACAGAGTGAGACTACGTCTCAAAAAAAGAAAAAAAAAATGTAGCAGGAAGTGCCTGTGCTTGTGTTGTCTGTTTAGTTATGTGAGACTATGTAGGGATTCATCACTGAAAGTGTGATTGGATATTAAGAAGTACCAATCACTGCCTATTCCTAGCAAAGGTCGCACCTTAAAGAAGGCACAAGAGGCAAGCTGGAAGGTGCCTGCCTCCCTGCCCCGTGACCACTGCACTTGAGCGTTTCAGCATTCTTCACCACCATAGTACAGAGAGCGGGCACATACATTTGAAAAGTACCATCCTGCTTCTCCTTAAAGATGCAGAAGGAGTATTTTTTTAAAACTACAATTTTAAAAGAAGAGCTCTTACCTTCAGGAATATCCTGGACAAGGCTGATGGCAATAGCTACAGCCCACTCTGGGTTGACTATAGAGAGCAAGTAGGATTCAATGGTCTGCGTGATCTTAGTTATTTCCTTGTTAATCAGTGTTGAGGATTTAGCTTGTGTTAACTTCAGAAGCTTTGGCTTCAGTTTTTTTTCAAAAACATGTTTTGCTGTAGACACGTACAGAGTGTCCAGAGAGAACTTAAAAGAAAAGGAAGGTTATGGCTGAAGCACATATTCACATATAAGGTTTTACATGAAAGCAGCATAAAAATCTTTTACATGGGGTCAGAATTAATTATAGGATACAGAAATGTCTTACAAAGTTTTAATCAATTACCTTCATTAATTTAGAAATTAAAAGCAATGTTGGGAAAGATTCTTCACTGAGTTCTGTAGCTAGAAAGGAAACATGGAGAGTATGATTTGTAAAAAATTTAGCTATCCAGTAAAATGTATGTAAAAAAAAAAAAACAAAAACATACAGAGAATTTTCCAGAAGTTCTGTGCTGTGCCAAAGAATATCAGGTGAAAAGGCAGTCTAGTTTGGGCGGCTGATGGCAAAGTTATGACATGTTCCAACATATACTGATATTCTAGATCCACGGGAGGAGAAATTCTTCTGTATGACTTCAAATGTTTTAGAACACTCAATGCCTATATTAAAATAAAATATAAACTTTTGTCCAGTTAGAGTAACCCAGTCCTAAACTGTCATAAAATCATCTAACACTGTATCATCGAAAGTTTCCATTCCCAAGACCATCTTGTTTTCAGAAAGATGATCAAAACCTTTTCTAGTATTCCCTTTAATGCTATTCTTCTAAACCATAATTTATATATGATCATCAAAGAAATCATATGAGGAGAAACCATTGGTAAACGGTAAATGACAGCTTGACAGTTCACTATCTGCCCTTCACACAGTTTGAGATATAATTCAAAATACTTGATTTCATTTTAAATACAGAGGCTACAGATCTAAATTAATTCTCTATACCCTTATCTTTCTTACGTTTATATTTTAGACAACCTTGTATAACATTTTGAATTGATATATTTTCTTATATATCTTAACATCATATTAAAATATTTCTAAAATATTAATTCCTAAAATCAAATTAAAAAGTATAAAGGCTACTACAACCAAAATTCAGAAATAGTGAAGAAGTTAATGAAAGTACTGAGACACAATTGAGTATGTCTTGGACCAATCCATTAGTACACAAAGCTGACCTAACTCTCAGCCCCATGGCCTTTTTTACTTCCTATATGGCAAATGTTTCCTTAATTCTTCACAATTAGTTCTGTAGTGACTTCATACTCTTAAACAGCAGGAGAGGTTATTTAAATCACCTCAAAACAGTAAAAATAGGAGGAAGATAAGTGATAAAATATGAATGCCATAAAAATCTTTTTCCCTTTGTAAAGATTTTTTAAAACCTAAACTAAACCACACAGTTTAAAAGGAGTTCAACAGTTAATCTGGAAAGGACCTGGATAATGATATGACTTATGATCCAAAAAAAGCAGAAAGTTGATTTTTACATCTTTGGTATAGGTTATACCTGATTAATATTAATATTGGTTATCTTTTCATCGGCTCGTTCTATAACTTTCAGGACAACTTCAATCATTTCATAGTCATAGGGATCCAACTGTATAAAAACAAAAATATATCAAAACTTGTTAAGATTTTGCCATGTTGAAGTTTTATTCAATTACATTCATCAGCACAGATTACAAATATAAAAAGCTCATTGCACTTGTTTAGATTAATTACTCTCTTAAAAATGAGCTACAGTTTTCTCACCTCTAAAATTACATGTGAGGATAAACATATATGCTAAAAAAAGGTCTCAAAGGCTGTTTTCACAAGCTGCACAAGGTAGTATTGTTTTAATAAAGAAAGATGCTCTTGCCTTAAATCCCAGCATTTTGGAAGGCCGAGGCGGGTAGATTACCCGAGGTCAGGAGTTCGAGATCAGCCTGGCCAACATGGTGAAACCCCATCTCTACCAAAAATACAAAAATTAGCTGGGTGTGGTGGCAGGCACCTGTAGTCCCAGTTTCTTGGGAGGCTGAGGCAGGAGAATGGCTTGAACCTGGAGGGTAGAGGTTGCAGTGAGCTGAGATCATGCCACTACACTCCAGCCTGGGCAACAGAACCAGACTCTGTCTCAAAAAAAAAGAGAAGTTCTTAAGACACTAAAAACATAGAGTAGGCATATGGACACAATTTTATATAAGATTTTGAAATTAAAGTTCCGTATCTTCAATTTATGATGGGAAAATTAGAACAAAAAGAAACTGATCCTTTTCTTAAAAATGACATGACTAAAACTGTGGCCCCCAAGCAAGTTTCTCAAAGGATTTTGTTTTAGCTCCAACTATATACTATAGTGCAAGAATAAATTGTGTGACATCTATATACATATAAACATAAAAAGAAAGGAAGTAGTCAGGTCGGGCATGGTGGCTCATGCCTGTAATCACAACACTTTGGGAAGCCAAGGCGGGTGGATCACCTGAGGTCAGGCATTTGAGACCAGGCTGGCCAACATGGCAAAATCCCATCTCTACTAAAAATACAAAAATTAGCCGATTTGGTGGTGCGTGCCTGTAGTCCCAACTACTCAGGAGGCTGAGCCAGGAGAATCGCTTGAACTTGGGAGGTGGAGGTTATAGATCATGCCATTGCACTCTAGCCCAGGCAACAGAGTAAGACTTCATCT